CCCCGGTGACCCCGTACCTCCACCCTCCAGGAATGCCCCCGGTGATCATGTACCTCCACCCTCCAGGAATGCCCCCGGTGACCCCGTACCTCCACCCTCCAGGAATGCCCCCAGTGACCCCGTACCTCCACCCTCCAGGGATGCCCCCGGTGACCCCGTACCTCCACCCTCCAGGGATGCCCCTGGTGACCCCGTACCTCCAGGTCAGATCCTTCTTCTGCCATACTGTCCCACTTGGGACGTAGCGTTTCCTGCGGATCCTTTGGGGCCCCGATAGGAGGACGTCAGGGAGGGAACAGCGAGGCCTCTTCATCATCTCCACCGTCCGATCATCTGGAGGGATCAATATATTTATTGATCAGCTGACCATATATAACAAAGAGCTGAGGGCGGAGCCACAGCGACTGGCGGCCTGCAGAGATTTCCCAGCATGCAGCAAAACTGATGACCCGTTCAAGTGGACCTGTCATCATATAAAGAGTTTCATGTTTAGAGCAGCATGCTGAGTCATGTGACCCCTCCAGGTATTTATTACCCCTCACAGAGGTCACAGGGGGAGGGGGAGACTGAGGAAAGGCTTCCTCCTGCCTTCAATAGGTGAACTACTGTATATTGCGGGTACATAGGACCAGGTGACCTATCGAGGGGGTACATAGGATCAGGTGACCTATCGAGGGGGTACATAGGATCAGGTTACCTATCGTGTGGTTACATAGGATCAGATGACCTATATTGGGGGTACATAGGTTCAGGTGACCTATCGTGGGGGTACATAGGACCAGGTGACCTATCGTGGGGGTACATAGGATCAGGTGACCTATCGTGGGGGTACATAGGATCAGGTGACCTATCGTGGGGTTACATAGGATCAGGTGACCTATATTGGGGGTACACAGGGTCAGGTGACCTATCTTGGGGGTGCACAGGGTCAGGTGACCTATCGTGGGGGTATATAGGATCAGGTGACCTATCGTGGGGGTAAATAGGATCAGGTGACCTATCGTGGGGGTACATAGGATCAGGTGACCTATATTGGGGGTACATAGGATCAGGTGACCTATATTGGGGGTATCAGGCCTCTGTATTGGACACGCCCATATCTGGAGGTGACCCCGTGTCATGTTTGCAGTGGAATTATAAGAGAAGGGGAGGGGCTTGTGATTACCCAGATCTCCCGTCATCTTCAGGCCAGCAAACCTCTGCATGGTCTTCACAGCTTCTCGGAGGCTCTCCAGGGTCTGTTGCTGGGCAGAATACGGGTCCGGAGGGGGTAGGTAGCCATACCGGGTCAGCCAGTCCTGTAGGGATCAACAGAGACAATGACAGGTCCACTTTAGGAAGCCGGATTTCCTTCCACCACCCTCCACATGT